CGCGGAGCCAACGGCGGGGGCGGAATCGGGGGCAGCCACGAATGCGGGCAAAGCAGCAGGGTCTACAATAGTCGCAGATGGGTCGTACGGCAACCGCATGGCATACGCTGCAGATTCTTTATCCTCTCTCGCAAAGAGCAGTCCATTTTGTAAGGTTGCACCACGTTCGTCGTAGAGGATTGGTTGCTTCAGAGAAACAGCATGCGTTAAGAACAAGTTGAGGCTCAGGCTCTCTGCAACAGACACGTCAGTGAGCTTCACACACATCGTCGTTTTCTCACCATTCTCATCCTCCTGAAAGAAACTAAGATTAATACTACCGATGGCTTGCACTTCTAGCAGTCGACCATCACCTACAACGACGTACTTCCTACTGGCGGGGATCTCTTGCAGGTCATACATGTGTAGGCTGCTGTTAGTGAAACTGTTGCTGGCTCCTGGGTAAGCCACCCGTCTCTCGCTACCAGGCGGCCCCTCACTAGATTCCACACTCAGCAAAGACGAAGCAGACGCAGCAGACTCTACTCCAATCGTCACTCCTATTCTACAGGGTGAGACTTGCCTATAGGCACCGATCGTGCCGTGCAGAGGTGGAGGTAGCCCGAACATGGAGGCGCGCCAGGAGAANCCCCCACCGCCGGCGTAGTGGGCGTACCCGGCGTCATGGTAGCCGTTTTCGTAGTAGTAGCCGTCGTCGTAGTCGCCGTAGTCTTTGTAGTAGCCACCATCATCGTGGGCGTAGTACACAACGTACGCCTGCTCTCTTCCGTGGCCAGAACGCGCGTGCCCCGGGCCTCTCTCTGCCCGTTCCNGCCCCGGCGGCGGCCTACCCCCTCGCTGGCTACCGCCGCCACCGCGGCTGCCGCCGCCCGAGCGGCGTTCCTCGGCGCCCTCTCTCGAACGCGCGCGCCGCAGTTGCTGCTAGAGACGACACTGCTCGTTGGTGTGAAGCGCGGACTGGTGGTAGCGGCAAAATCTGCCGGGGTCGTCGTTGAACACTTCACTATTTTTCTTCTCTCCGTCACGATTTTGGCCGCCAGCTGCCTGACCGCCGTCTTGACCCCCGGATGCCCCCCCACTTCCCCCGCCGCGCCGGCCCATGCCGGACGCGGCGAGAGCGAGCTCCACCTCGCGCCTCTCCCCCTTGCTCCTCTCGCGCTCCATCTCCACGTGGGCGTCCCTCACCACAGTCTCAAGGGTACGCAACGTCAGGACATCATGAGCAAGCAGTATTCCTTTGCACGGCATACAACGAAGAGGAAGGCCACGAGCAATGTCTTTGTTGGCATCTGTTTCATCCTTAATCGTGCCTACAGATGCGAGACGCGGGCGAAGGGCCTCTGAGCGGGCAATGTAATCCTGTGGATTCTCGGACTCTTTCATCTCCAACTCCTTCCAGTCCTGCTCCAACCTCGACATTTCTGACTGCTTTTTCTCTTGATAGAACTCTGTCACGATTTTCCAGCCTTTTGGGGGACTCTTACACGCCAGAATCAAGATCTGAATCGGGGGATACAAAACCTTGCTAATAAGGATAGTCCACAGTTTGAAAGACTTGTCTACCACTTCATTACCAAACAGTCTCCGAAGGTATCCTACATTCACACGCCTCTTCCCGACCTTGACCTCGACCTCTAGTTCCAACGCATCATGCACGCCCTCCTCCTGAAAATACGAAATCATCTTACTGCGAAAAATATCAAACAGAATATTGTGCTCAACAACCAGTGCAGATACTGGCGTGTCAAGCATCCTTCATCCTGACAACTGACAACGGGAACCTCAGCACTGCCGAAGATTGTGTGCTGGAGGTTATGGTTGTCCACGTAGGCCAGAAAGCGTCTCCGCCAACTGAGAAAGGTGTCGGCGGTGCAATTAGACGGGATTCTAGGCACAGGAGTTCTGACATTGTACCTCCCAGAGGCAAACCCGGCACCCCAGTACCGCCATCATGACTCACCCCGCCTGGCCACATTGGCCTCACCGGTGCAGATGAAGCCCCTCCAGGAGCAACTAGACCGTCGCCTCCTGAGCTTCTGCCGGCAGGTGCCCCCGCCGACCGCCGCCGTTCTGCCCTAGGCTCCTCCGTCTCAGCTTTGGCCTCCTTCGTCTCAGCCTTGGCGAAATCTATAGCTCGTAGCGCCTCATCCAGCCTCGCGCTCAGAGTTGCGTCCTCCTCCGTTCCAGACATATCAAACTAAAACTCTAAACCCTCCCTGCTGTCCCAGCCTCGAAGTGCTGTCCCAGCTATAAACCCTGCTGTCCCGGTCCCCGCAATGGCCACCGCACCAGCTAGGCACTGCTGTCCTCGCCCCCTTTGGCCGCGATCCCAGCTATGAAAATGGTGTCCGCTGCCCCGATGGCCCAGCTCCCACCGCTCAGACGCCAATACCCACTACCAACACCAGGCCGTACAATATATTGTGTTTGGGTGCGGTAGATCGTCAGAGGCCGAAAGAGAAAGAAGGTTGACTCAAGACCTTGTTGCTTAGAGAGTGAGAGACATGCCGTAGGTCACACCATCGCCATGCAGCATGTCCGTCAATACATTCCATCCGCATACCCCCCGGAGGCCCCGTAGACAGTATACTCTGCCGAGCATCCCAAACATGAAGTTTAAATCAATTTGGGAAGCAGGCGTGGGCCCACGGCAATCTATGGTTCAAAGAGGAATGGGAAACTAGATTGATGCTCCAACATCCAAATTGCCTCACGATACACTCCTCCCGCCCGTTTCGGCTGTAAAGCAATGCAAGTCCAGGGCAGCGCGCGGGGGGGGGGGGATG